GATATGAATAATATGTTTTCTCTAATAATAATACTAGGAAAATAAATTTTTTTCTTTGAATTTATTTTTTGCAGTGATTTAAATTTATTTTTTTCTCTAATAATAATACCAAAAAACTTTTACATTTTTTTTGTTAATAACCTTTTTAAAAAAAATTTAGAAGTTCTTTAAGGACCAGGGTTTATTGGTTAAAACCCTTTTTAATCGATATAATTGCCTTTTAAAAAAGATTGTGTGTTTGTTGACCAAAAAAACTTGAAAAAGAAGAAGAAGATTGTGTGTTTTTAATGGTATAAATTTTTAGGTGGTTTTTTCTAATGGGCTCAAACCGAAAAATTGTTTTGAAAATGGGTTCAATTTCTTCGTTACCAATTTTCACTTTGTCAATTTTTACGATAAAAATCTTCTCCAATCATCTACCAATCAACCCAAAAAAACGTTTTAAGTTAACCTGCAAGATTATTAAAAATGATCATGGCGAGGCAAGAAAAAATCAACATCATAGCGCAAAACTATCACTCTGAAGTATGGATTCACGCATTAATCTACAATCCAAACCAGAAAGTAACAACTTGTAAATAAAATCTTAAAACTCCATTGCCGAAACTTAAGTCATAATCATAAATAACCCAAAAACAGAAAATTTAATAAGGAAAAAGATCTCTCGTGATACTTGACTACCTAGGATACTCTCATTCGTGTATCAATAGATCAAAACCCAAACTCAAAACTAAGGCAAATTGTAAGACCAATTGCCATTAATCTTTAGGTCTCATTATCATAACCAAAAAAACTTTTTCCATCTACTATAATACCTTCAAGTTCTTATTCCAACAGAATGTAAGTTAAGCAAAAAACAAAAAATCATAAATTTCACCGATCCAATTCTTCAACCTTTTTTCAATTCCCCGGCTCGTTTTTCCTTCCAACACCTTCAATTCCTTCCTTCTCTTCCAAAAGCCGACCGCTTTCTTCATCAACCTGAGCAGTCTACTGAGCTTCTTTAGCCTTCAAAGCTTGTAACTTGGCGTGATTGTAATACGCAACTCCCAAAAACCCAATACCGTAACCAAAAAGATTAATAGGAGTCACAGTATCCTTAATAACCGACCACGAAAAGGCGATCAAGAGCCAGTCCTTAACCACACCAGCAACATTCATGGTCAGAGCAGAGGTTTTCCCAACAAGAAGGAAAACAGCAAGATTCAAAGCAAACGCACAAAACGAGTTCGTCCCAAATATGAGATAATCGAAATGGAACGTAGAAGTATCTCTCAAAACCAGAAACTCCACAACAATCCAAGGGATAAACAAGAAACCTAAGCAGCAAGGTGCAACGTAATACAAAGAAGTGATTGGATTCAACGTGATTCCTTTAGAAGTAAGCAAGATCTGAATCATTACCAATCTTGTCGCTTCGAAAGCAACCGCACCTAGCTGAAGAATCACACCCCAAACATCAAACCTAGCTTCTCCATAAGCCGCGATCGCTACACCGAACGAGATAGAGAATCAGTGCTATGATCAGCAATGCACAGTACAAGTAAGCCATCACTGCCACCTGAAACAAGGAGTGCCTGTAATTGCAATTAGATAGAGAATGAATGCAGTCAGGTATTTGCAGATGAATAACTGAGAGAAAATGGTTGATAAGCGTTCATTAAAAAGCGTTAAAGCAAAAAGGAGAAGATGGCCGGTAGAAGTGGGAAATTTGCTAACAATCTAACCCAATCATGGTATAACATGAATGTAGAGTATTGATAACCAATTGGGAAAAGAGATGCCAATGCTTAAATTCCTTCCACTCCCAATGCATGAAAGTTAACCCGAACGTATTATGAGGACAAATGAACCTCTATTGAGCACTTAAGATATAAGAAACTAAGGCTATATTCCTAAACTGTATGATAGGCATTCATTGAAGATATAAGAAACTATTTCCTCTAGTTGTGTAACTTGGGTTGACGAAGGTTGCTAGCAGCCAGATAGAACATTAAGCATTTACAATAAAATCAAAAGTTTAAAAGACGCTAGCCTTAACTGAGAACATAGAAAAAGAAGAGAAGAATTTATAGCTGTGATTTATTCATTCTGAATTTATTACATATATCAAGTTTAAAGATTATATTGGCAAATTTCAAACTCCACAAGAATTTCCTCCTGGACCACCATAATTAAAAAAGAAACCGAGTTTAGTGCGAAGGAAAAACGGAATTTTACCAATTCTTAACCCATAACATCCAGGACTATCTAGTAATTTCTCTATTGGAAAAGAATTCATTTTACGTTGTTCATAGTTAGAACTCAATACTTTAATATTTGTAAACAATGATGATTTCATGCGGCCTCCATTTGGAAATTTTCCATTACCCATTGGAGGACTTGAACCAGTTGGCGAAGCCTGGACTACACCCCCAACTCCAACCATATTTGCACCATTGTCGAAAAGATTAAACAACTCTTTTGGCCAATATCCGATATCTATGTTAGGTCCATGTGAGTCCACTTGCGTAAGCCACCAGTTTCTTGTATTTTTATCCTT